ACGATGAACAATTTAATCTTCATTCCTGCAATCAATCAATTCATTTAATTAGAAATTATCACACTTCTACCTTGGTCCAATACCCCCGGAGATATTATTTCTTTCTTTCTTTTTTTTTCTTGGTGTGAAGAGTAAGGTCTTTTCAAGGATGTAAAGATTAAACGCCAAGCAAACCCACCCACTCAAAAAATTATATAGAGAGAGAGAGAGGCTGTTCTGTTGTTATGAGGAGTGTTTTTCTTTACCTTGAACTCCACAGCCTGATTTTCAAAAGGTGAGTTCAGGTATATTTAGTCATACTATAGAGATAAAATATTACTAAAACTCCTAACTAAAGGGGTTCTGATCCAATGTGCCGGGAATTGGTACAGTTACCTTGGTATACAATTTAAAAATCTTATGAATAGTTTTGGGATATATGTTTCGTTTTGGTCACTTTACAGGGGTCAAAGTTCACCAGAAAGGCTCAGTTTTGGGTATTGTGGCCATATTTCCTCTGCATTTCAACCAATTCACCCGAGACAGTTCGAACACGCCTCACTACAACCCTATACACGAATATATACACACTTAGATTTTTAGTTACTTTACCGGGATCAAATATCAACTAACAAGCTCAATTTGGGTTTATTTTGGCCCATTAAAATTATAGCCCAAAACAAGTCATATGAGACTGAAACCAGGAGACGTGTTTCATTCGCTTCTGGGTGATGTCGCCTTTAAGTAAGAATATAACACTTCCTGACTTGTACTTCATTTATAAAGCAACTTGCACTCAACATCTGAAAAAATACAAGGACTCAAAAATTACACTTCCTCACTGCCGTAATAAATCACCGCAGTTTATCATTGATTGGGTGTAAATGAATTTAGATGGTCAGAAGTTTCACAAGCTGGAAGTATTGACAGAAGAGGCGTGGTTTCTCCTAGATGTTCTTGTTGACCGATGGTGGGTACACGATGGTGGCATTATTGGGGTAGTAGTTAGTCATGATGGCAACTGTGGAAGTTTCTATATATAAGGAGGGAGGGCGAGTACAAAGTACATGTCCCTCTGGATATGTAATGCTGAAATGCTTGTAACTGTCTTTTCGGTGAAGGCCTGTCTCTGAACAGGGGTAGTTTTAGTCAGTGGCTGGCCTCTTCAATAAAATATATATTTCATAATCGTTTAAGTAGATATTTAAATATCATAATGTCTTTAATCATAATTTTCTGCTACAACTTTTCGAAAATGAAAACCTTTAAGTGAATACAGCATCTCGTGAATTTTAACTGCCACGAAGCCAACTGAACTAGATACAATCTATCAATCAATCAATCGTCAGCCCTAACCTATTCAGTTTTCCGAGTAAGAATGTCAAAGTCAATCGTATTTTACATAAGGAGTGATCGACGCCGCTTATACCCAAATAGCTAAGCACTGTTTGTGTAAGTACTGTACAGCGTTCACTTCACATAGGGCAGCACTAACGTTGGCTGTTACAATGTTCAGTGCTCAGCTCCTGTATGGGTTATTGTGGTTTTAGTGAGGGTCTTGCAGTGTTCTGGCTGACTTCATTGGTGCATAAGTGTTAAGTGACCATCTGTGTAAAGTGTGGTGCCAATATCTAGTGTCCGTGACCAGTTACGAGTGAATCATTTAAAGTTCCCTCGTGATAATGCCGGCCGCAGCTGGCTACATATTCTCTTCTAGATTGGGAACTAAAGACCTTAAGGGTACATAATTTTAGTCAAAATAATTCCTCCTTACCAGATCACGTGAGAGCCCCAACTTTGTTGACATTCAAACCCAGGTGTGTCCTCACTCACCACACTAAACTACAGTATAGCTAACCACTGCTGACTGCCTCGCATGTTACTCGTGGACCACACATTATTGCGCGGCGCAATCAGTAACAAAAGGTGAGTGTTTCTGTGTGTTGGAGCTATGTTTGTTGTCTATGTTGGCATAAATAGTGTAAGGCTTCCAAACTCTGAAGTGAATGGACCAATCTCGTCAGATTCCCCCCCCCCTTCAAACCTGCATCTCGGTCAGTCGAGATTCACCTCGGACGACTCGGCGAACCTCAGAAAGGGCTCCACCATTAAGGTGGCGGCACACTGCGCACTTTCCTCTAAACATGTTGCCCGTTTTGTTGGCCGTCGGCCAAAACGCCCAGCAGGCAGCAGGATTTCGGCTGATGCTAGAAATGGACGGGGATCTTTGCTGGCCGCATTAGTACTCAAATGAGCTTCATATAATTTCAAGTAAAAATTTAAATAAATCGTGGAACAATGATAATTTAAAATATAACACAAAAACGTCGACATACTTCTATTTATTCGTCACTTTAAAACGTCTTTAGTATTATTCAATCATTATTCAGGGACTTCTTTGACCAGCTAGCCTCCGCCACTTTTCAAGAAACTTCACGACGCACCCATTGTCTTTTCTTTAGTTTTTGCAAACGCCCCACTTGCTTTAGCAATCTAATATAGTATAGGACTAGCCCTGTGTCTGTCTGTCTGTGCAGCCAAAACGGCACAATCGTTTTTCATCAAACTCGGTGGAAAAATCGAAAACAAATCTTAGAGTGGAACAAACCTGGTCCCATGTCGATGGTTTCTTTAGGAAGTCATTAATTAACCATTTTATTTACGCTGGAAAACAATGCAAGTCTAAGGACTTGGCGCACCCTCATTCGCTGTCAGCCCACGATTGCAGTTATCGTACGGCTCCCTCCTACCCCCACTTTTTTCTTAGCCTACTTTTTTTTAATGTTGTTTGGATTAGTAAAGGAAGGAAGATGAGTAAATAGAAGAGTAAAGAAGGGGAAACAGAAAATAGTTTGAGATAACAGATGGGGGGGGGGGGAGCTGAGTTTCATCATGTGTCTGGATGCGCAGTTTCTACGTTACCAGACCATTTTCGGACCTTACAGTACAGTTACAGTGTGTACAGTATATACTTATTCCTGCAGCTGACTGTACATGGAAAAGGAGAAGAGAGAAAAAGATAATAACAGGAATGCATGGAGAAGATAGAAAGGGAGAAGAGAAGGAGAAGAAGAGAGTCTGAAGCATTATTATCCTTAAGAGGCGAGGAAAGGAGATGGGAGAGAGGAATAGTGAGAGGTGGAGGTATGAATGGAGAGATGGAAAGACAGAATAAGAATGGTATAGGAGGAGACAAGAGGAGGAGACAAGGGAAGGACAGTGATAAGTAAAACAAAAATCAGAACAAGTATTTGGATGATAACATGTAGAAATTAGTCAGTTAAATGTAGGTAAAAAGAGTAAGAATAATGAGATAAAACATAAAGAAGAAAGAGACACATATAACAACCACGACCATGATTATAACAACCACGACCATGATTATAACAACCACGACCATGATTATAACAACGACGACATGATTATAACAACCACGACCATGATTATAACAACCACGACCATGATTATAACAACCACGACCATGATTATAACAACCACGACCATGATTATAACAACCACGACCATGATTATAACAACCACGACCATGATTATAACAATGACGACCATGATTACTAACAACCACGACGACCATAACAACCACGATTATGATTATACCATCTCACCAACGATTATTGATAATTCACGACCATGATTATACCATACGACTATGATTATAAACAACCACGACTATGATATGACTATGATTATAACAACCGACTATGATTATAACAACCACGACATCATAACCACGACTATGATTATAACAACCGACTATGATTATAACAACCACGACTATGATTATAACCACGATCATGATTATAAAACCACGACTATGATTATGACAACCACGACCATGATTATAACAACCACGACCATGATTATAACAACCACGACCATGATTATAACAACCACGACCATGATTATAACAACCACGACCATGATTATAACCACGACCATGATTATAATAACCACGACCATGATTATCTCATATACTATAGGAATAGCTGTGTGTGTGTGTGTGTTCTCGGCAGCCGAAACGGCACGATCGTTTTTCATCAAACTTGGTGGAAAAATCGTAAAAAATTCATAGAGTGGAACAAACCTGGTCCCATGTCGATGGTTTCTTTAGGAGGGCATTAATTAACCATTTTATTTACACTGGAAAACGATGTCGCTGTACACTGTCAGCCGGCCGGAGGTTGCGCGCTAGCCAAGCACGAGCGTTCGAACTTTCACGCTTTGGTAAACTATACCACCGGACTCGCCACCGGGCACGAAGGGCCCACGATCACTTGATGAAGAACTATAGCACAATCCTGTAAGGCCTCAACTGTAGTAACAGAATTCATTGCGAACCTCTTCTAAATGATTTGTTGTGTTCGTTGCGTTGGGCAGACGCGCCAACAAAATATCCCAATCTGACGCCGCCTTATACTCACTTCGTGGTACCCATCAGTGATGGTCACAGATTTAAAAAAAAAATTAAGTATCACCTAACCTGGTGTGACCTGCCTCGAAGGCAAATGACCGAATGACGACACGAAAATAAAATTGAAATAAATAAGAACCTTAATTCCCTACATCAACTTAAAATCACAAAAGAGAAACATAATCTGTCTCCTTACCTGCCACCCCTTTTCTCAATGCTAACACCTGCTACAGCGTGAAGTCAGTCTCCCGGCTTTCATATTTTGCTCCGAGCGTAGAAAATATTAACGTAGACATTAAACAGTTCTTGACGTTGATATTAAATAGAGCATCATGAAATTTTGCTGGCGTTAATAATATTTGGACTGACAGACATTCGGCCGTGGGAGAGATGGTCCACAGGTAAAGGTCAATTAGCGACTAGGATAATTAATTACTGATCACCTGAGAGGCTTTTGAGGATGATTGGTTAACCCTTTGAGGGAGGTGCCTTTGCCTTTCGAGAACAATGGTTTAACCCCATTTAAAATGATTTTGCCTTTGAGAATGATAGTTCAACCCTTTAAGGATTATGGTTTTACCTTTTGAGGACGATGGGTGTAAAGGCCTGGCCTGTAGGATACAAATACCTTGCCAACCTAGTCAGGATCTTATCAAAGGAAAGTCAAGAACCATGGGTTTTCAAGGGGTAATGAACAACCGGAAATAAGCACAAAAGTTTAACTCTGTCACCACTCACACAAACATTTGACTGGAGTCAAACACAATTACTAAAACAAAGCATAATATATCAAACAAAGTACTGTTATTTCATACGGCTGAAGATGAATCTTCCTTCTAACCAGCACTGTAGAATGTTCTAGTAACGCGGTGATCCGCCCCTCATCAGGGTGAGGTCCGAGTGCAACAGTCGGTCTCGCCTACAAAACTCTCAGGCGTCCGCTCTCAGGGAGAAGGTCCAGGGCAGCTTCCTCACTTGGCGTTGGTGGGCGATGTCTTGCCACACAAGAGATGCCAGGGCACGGACGGTGGATAGGGCGTGGGGGAAGTGGTGATCACGGGGCAGCCGTGGCAGTAGCTGGAGTAAGTAACCGGAGTTAACATCGAAGAGTGAAGGACCGAGGAATACGCCCCAAGAACCTCCGATGAGTACACAACCAGAGAAGGAATAGAACAGCAGGGTGAAGTAACAGCTGTGGTGAAGGCTGGATCGTGTCTGACCGGCGACGTACCAGCAGCGGCCTTCTCACCTGTCCCCCCGTCCGCGTGCGTCTGTTCCCCTGCCTCCTGTCCCTATACCCCCGCCTCTGTCCCCGCCTCCGTCCCCACCCCCGCCTCGTCCCCACGCCTCCGTCCCCACCCCCGCCTCCGTCCCCACCCCCGCCTCCGTCCCCACCCCGCCTCCGTCCCCCACCCCCACGCCTCCATTTCCCCGCCTCCGTCCCCACCCCCGCCTCCGTCCCCACCCCGCTCGTCCCCACCCCCGCCTCCGAGTCCCCACCCCCGCCTCCGTCCCCACCCCCGCCTCCGTCCACCCCCCGCCTCCGTCCCCACCCCCGCCTCCGTCCCACTTGCCTCCGTCCCCCCGCCTCCGTCCCACACGCCTCCGTCCCCACCCCCGCCTCCGTCCCCACCCCCCGCCTCCGTCCCCACCCCCGCCTCCGTCCCACCCCCAGTTCCGTCCCCCACCCCCGCCTCCGTCCCACCCCCGCCTCCGTCCCACCCCCCGCCTCCGTCCCCACCCCCCGCCTCCGTCCCACCCCCGCCTCCGTCCCCGCCTCCGTCCCCGCCCCCCCGCCTCCGTCCCCACCCCCGCCGTCCACCCCCGCCTCCGTCCCCACCCCCGCCTCCGTCCCACCCCCCGCCTCCAGTCCCCCGCCTCCGCGTCCCCACCCCCGCCTCCGTCCCACCCCCGCCTCTCCGTCCCCACGCCCGCCTCCATCCCCACCCCCGCCTCCGTCCCCACCCCTCGCCTCGTCCCCCACTCCCCGCCTCCGTCCTACCCCGCCTCCGTCCCCACCCCCGCCTCCGTCCCCACCCCGCCTCCGCCCCCCGCCTCCGTCCCCACCCACCCTCCGTCCCCGCCTTGCCTCCGCCCCCCGCCTCCGCCCCCCGCCTCCGCCACCCCCGCCTCCTGGCCGCCTCCGCACCCTTCACCCCCAGAGTGGGACCGTGAACAAGTGGATGAGCAGCGGACAACCTAACCGCTCGTTACAGCCCTTACAATGGGTTAACCTATTCTATATGAGGATTTAAACGTTTAAGATGACAGTTTAACCTTTTGAAGATGAGAGTTTAACATTTTGAGGACGATGGTTTAACTACTTTAGGCATATCGTTTAACTCTGAGGACTATGGCTTTAGCCCTCAGAGAAAGATGATTTAACGCCTGAAGACGATGATTTAACTCTTTAAGGACGATGATCTAGCACCTTCAGGACGATGATCCAACTCCTTGAGGACGATGATCTAGCTCCTTGAGGACGATGATCTAACTCCTTGAGGACGATGTTCTGACTCCTTGAGGACGATGATCTGACTCCTTGAGGACGATGATCTGACTCATTGAGGACGAGGATTTGACTCCTTGAGGACGGTGAACTCACTCCTTGAGGACGATGATCTAACTCCTTGAGGACGATGAGCTTAACTTTTTGAGTCATTAACCAGTATCATCTTTTATTTGTCTTGAGAGAACAGGTATGGTTTGTGTAGGGAAGACTATGGTCACAAGATGGCGCTGGCCATCAGTCAGTCTGGGGTATAACTGGCCGGTCTTAGTAACTAGTATGTGGAGACCTGTGATTGGTCCGGGTCGGGAGGTAGAAAATCTGGTATGCTCCAGAGCCAGTTACGGAGCTGTGAAGTCAACATCTGGTCTCCTGTCTCCTAAACCTTAAGGGTCGAGTGTTAGTGTACTCTTATTGGTCCAGAGTTATTATAGTTTATATGGTGATGTTTAGGATTTAGTGATTATATATTATAGTGTAATAGTTAGGATTTATTGTTCATTTATTATTACTTGAGTTTTCTGATTTCTTTTGTTTGTATAGATATGTACATACCAAGATATGTGAACACGCCTGACACCAGGACTCTTGTTACCATTCATTGTACCATTTATTCACATGTCTGTATTACTACATATTATTATAGCATGTCTGATGTCCATGCTTATGTCTAATGCCTATGTTCATTTACTATGTCCCGATGTACTATGTCTGTACCGCGCTAGTCGAGTAATTAGAAGACCTCATTTATTGTCCTAGTAATGTCTAGCAACTCTCTTTGCCTGTTTTGGCATTTCCCTCGTTGTACTCCTACTACGGTCAGGGGTCCCTAATGTCCTTTCTATATCAGTTGGCTATATATCTTGTACACTTATTGAATATTTCCTGCTCGTCTTGGTAGTTTCAAGAACCTTGTCTGGGATTATCCTCCACACCACATGGCAGTTTGAATGGCTCCAGCATTGGGAAGCTTTGGCCTCAAGTGGCCCCGTCTGTTTCCGGCCTCGTCTGTTTCCTTGAAATATACTCCATTCCCTGGTTTAAGAGTGCTTGACCTTGTGAAGTGCCCTAAGTGAAGTGCAGTGCCTTTCATGTCTCTTTGCTATTTCTGCAGCCTACAAGTGAGCCTTTATTGTTTCAAGACATAAACATACCCCTCATCCACGGAGGCTCGTAAGCCTGCCGTTCTTTTGGAGTAATGTAGCATCTCCTTGGGCGCTGGAGGAATACGGCCATCCGCCTCTCTCACTTCTAAATATTTGCAGTCAGTGCTCTTTTACGCAGCCAGTTCCTGCTGTAAGCAAATCCGTGTTGAAAATAGCACTTCACCTTATTCTCCTTGTTTTATCATAGACAATATAAGCACGGATGTTGACCTGTGGGAATTTGTATGGGATTTATGAGGAAGACGACGTATCCTGGTTCCTCCACACCCCCTCACTTTATCACGGGCTTAAATTCAGGATGGAGCCGGGATATACGCCGGTTAATCCGCCCTAAAAGTTTCTCAGAGAGGCCCAAAGACGTGTTCAGTTGAGGCGACGTCGAGATTGTCGGGAGCGAGAGGAATCAGCTTACGCCTTCGCTTCATTATGGCATAAGCTGATAACCGCAAATTCTGGACCTATTGGTTAATTTGTGGGAACGGCTTCACCAGCTGCCTACTCGCCAGCTTTGGCCTCTTCCGTATCCTTCGAACGCCTCCTCACGTCACCTGTCTCCTAGGTAGCCTCAGTGTCTTCTCATACCTGTTCCGTCTCAACTCTCGTCGCTCTCGTGCTCCTCCACCGCCTGCCGTCTGAGTACCCTGCACAGCAAGTCTTGTTCATGTCTACCTCTTCAATCTGGTCGACATATCAGTATGCAGTCAATGGCGACGTCGTTTGAACTTTGCTGTTATGTCTGACCTCTCTGAATGCCCTCATAAACAACTCATTTTCGGTAAGATCGGTGTTTACTCGATGTTCGCGCCTCTGAGACACGCTAATATCACGCTCACAGGTCAGTGACAGGGGTTTAAACGTTGCAGGAGTCATTTTCCGTGGCCTCCGCGATGAAGCTTTGCGTCGTGAGCTGCTATCTCTGAAAACAAGCTTTTTGAGAGTCATTCTCGGACTTCATTGGCTTAAGGATCCTGGCGGGGTGGACCTATGTTACAGGCGATCCTTAACCTGTGGATCTGGCTCGAGATGATCTTGCTGATGGATTGTATTGGCGAGGACGCTGAAACTCTCACCCTCAGCGCGCCTCTTCCCTCACCGACTTCGTCACCTGTTGCAGGTCGTGTGGGGCTAAGAAGTTGCCTCAGCCATACTCATCGCCATCTCAGTCACCGTCTCCTTACAAGAGGTCAACGCAGTTGCGACGGAGTCTCCACATCCCCGTCGCAGTCACAGTTTCTGTTCTCTGAATCCTGCAAACTGTCAGCGTATGGTCGGGAAAGCGCCCTGCGTGTATGTATGTCGAAACTGTGGGTTTAAGGCCGTTGGCCCGCCTCGATGTCCTGTTATGGCCTCATGCGTTGCAACAAACAGAGACTTCGCCAGGTGTTGCGGGTCACCAAGCCTCCATCTCCGGGTGAGCGATCTCTTCACAGCCCGACGAACGTCACCACCGTCTCCGGGTGGCAAGGGATGCCGGCGCGTGGATGATACTCGAGTGACAGGTCCCCAAAGCCCGTCAATGTTCGTCTGTCTACGGTATAGCTTTCTTCGCCTCCTGATGATACTGACTGCAGACGCGGACATCCGCGGTGATTGAGCCAACACCTGAACGCCCTCAACATCCCCAGGAAGTAGCCTGTCACCCACATCATGAACAACGTGCTCACAGCGGACGGGTCACGATGTCTCCCTTTGGGTTGCTTCGAGCAACACTACAGCTCCGGTCCCAAGTCTTGCCCTTACAGTCCACGTCCGCCAGGGGAGCATTAAGCCCCTCTCCCCGTCATGTGGCCATTGTCGGGACTTGGCCGTAGATGCTCGTCAGTTCCCAAAGCCCATCCTCGTAGCGACACCTCAACAGGTGTGCAGAATGCAGCCATGACCACACCTGCTGCCGCCCGGGGTTCTTTTCTCCAGTTCAGCGACGTCCTTTGTCTCCCAAGCCCGACCTCCAGAAGACGCCGCTCAAAGAAGATGACAGGCCCTACGATGATCCACCTCAAGCCTGGCGCGACGCCTTTCGCCATCACACCCAGGCCTATCCCTTTGCCCATACAGCGAAGCTCGATTACTCTGGTGCAACCAGGGATCATCAGACGCCGCCAGTGAGAGCCCTCGAGTGGTGCCACCCTATGATGTTGGCACCCAAGCCTGTAGGTGTCGCATCTGGTGGACCTCACCATCTCCAGCTTCATAGTCTCCCGTCCGCCATCCATCGCTTCATGCATCAAGCAGTCGCAGCGTCACCCCGTCTGCAAGTTGCCACGGCGGATGCACTACTGTAAGTGACCTGGCCGGAAAGATCGCCACCTACCACATTCATCGCCCCTACGGCCGCTTCCCCGCTTACTGCGCGGACCCATAGGCTTCGCAGCAACGAAGTGCGTACTGCCTCCCGTGGATGTGGCTCTGCGGTCACCAACTGCGTGAAGGTCGTAGATGACATCCCCTGCTCTTCGACGATGATCTCCCGCAGACCAGTTAATGCCCAGTACTCACCGAATATGAAATGGTATCTCCCTGAACAAATAAATTTGGTCGCCCTTTAAGTTAACTACTGCGGCTACAACTTGTCTCGCCGGGGGATCTCCAGCTGATGAGGAAGGGTCAAGGCCATCAGGGACTTCCCTGCCCCAAAGCGCTCCTTCCTCTGGACTTCTGACCACGAGCCTAGCGTTCGGGAATAATGAAAGGCGTTGCTGTACCCCCAGCCTTGGCACCCTTCGACCCGTCCTTACCAGTGGTCCTCCAGACCGGCACTCCGTCTACTCTGACCTCCGGATATACCCTCCTTCAAAGACCCACGGCCAGGGCAGACTGCGCTTATCGAGTGTCAGGTTTCCTGACGGACAGGAGACCGGAATGCGCCACCATCGAACTAGAGATGCTGGCGATCGCCTGGGCTTCCTCATGAAATGCCGCCTTCCTGTTCGGCGCGGGCATTCACCCTCATAGCCGGACCATCGCCCGTCATACCCATCCTCAATCACTACCACGTTGGGCGCCATCAATCTACCGCCTCCAGCGCCTCAAAAGACCGCCCCTTACGTCTTTACAGCTGTGTGGTGCGCAGGGAAGCTACTGTGTGCATACCAGGCCTTCCTCTCGAGCCCTGTTAGTCGCCCCACACCTGAAAGATGAAATCGACTGTACCACGGCCTGCGCGGCTCACGTTCGGTCTTTAAGTGACACACCACAGCCACTTCTCCCCTTTGACCAAGGGCAACGGCGACCCCGCCCTCCATCGAAGACGATAGGACTCTCCGGAGCTTCGCATCGCGCCGCTCAAAGACCCGGCATCGTCCAACTCCTGCGACTCGTCTCCGCTGGATTCCCCACCGCCTTCCTTATTCACGCCTCCGCCCTCTCCCTTCTGGAAGCTAAAGGATAGCCTCTATCGCAGACGGAAGCTGGTGTTATGCAAGCCCCAAGATCGTCGTTCCGCTGCCTCCGCTGGCGCACCTTATCCCGCCTCCATGACAGCCGTGGCGTTGAAGCCTACC